GAAGAATGTCATCTGTTTTATTCCAAGGAAAGTTCTTAAATGATACACAAAGAAAATGAATACAAAGAAACATAGCAGGTGGTATTTGCCTATTTTCTCTTCTTAGAATGAGTCGCCCTTACGAGTTCCCTAGGGCTACTCCTTGAGAGAATGAGCTTAATCCTGACTCACACTTCTGGAGAAAAGAAATCTAAAATCAAGGTGCCAGCAAGTCCCATTCCCTCTGAAGGCTCCAGAGAACAATCTGCCTCTTACAGCTCCTGGAGGTTCTCTGTGTGTCTTGGTTTGTGGCAGCCTCGCTTCAACCTCTGCCTCTGTCTTTACCTGGCCTTCTTTCTTGTGTCTCACCTCTACCTCTCCTAGCTCTTATATGGACGAAAGTCATTGAATTTAAGATCCATCCTAAACTCAGAGTGGTATCATCTTCTAAGATTTTTTTTAATATTGTTTCTGCAAAGATCCTATTTCTAAAACAGGAACCAGGGATTAGGACTTGGAAGTATCTTTGTGTATTTTATTCCACATATTGCAGACCCCTGTCTCATTTTTTTAAAGTATTTATTTTTTTAGAAGTAGTTGGACCCAATACCTTTATTTTGTTTATTTATTTTTATGTGGTGCTGAGGATCAAACCCAGGGCCTCGAACGTGATAGACTAGCACTCTACTGCTGAGCCACAACCCCAGCCCCCTTTTTTTTTTCTTTTTTGATACCAGGGATTAAATCAGGAATGCTTAACCACTGAGCCTCATCTCTGACCTTTTTTATTATTTATTTTGACACAGGTACTTACTAAATTGCCTAGGGCCTTGCTAAGTTGCTGAGGTTGGCCTCAAACTTGCAATACTCCTGTATCAACCTCCCACGTTGCTGGGATTGCAGGTCTGTGCCACTGGGCCCAGCTGGTCAGATGTTTTAAACCTGGATTATTTAACATATTCCTTCTCTTCAATCTCCATGGTAGATTTACAATCAGTTGATACAAGTTTTTCTACAGCTTTGAGGATTTTCTGCTATAGTGATTTCAAAGCTTTTCCCTCCCATGTTATTGGGAATTAATAGTCTTATGTGAGCAGGAGTTGTTTAAGGCCGAAAGTCCAACTCTAATGAGGAAGATATTTATGTTCCAAGACAATTAAGACAGATAGCAAAGAAGAACACAGCTTTGGCAGTAGGAAAGATGGAATAAAGGCAGAAAGGAATAGAGGGAGGGTAGAATTGAGGGAAATAAGGAAAGCAGAATAGAAAGTGGGAGCAGAGAAGGGGCAGAGAGATGTGTTAACACAATGTAAGGCACCAGACCCAGCTCAGGTAGGCCAACACTGGAATTTTTGACAGGGGGCAAATTGTTTTGCCTTTTTACTCAAAGTGATGGGTGAAGGGCTGTGTTGTTTGCCACCAAGAGAATTCTGGCAAATACAGAATTTGAGGAAATGTTCTCATAAGAAGGCTCTTTTGTGGAAGATATTTTAATTTTGTGTGGATTTTAAGCTTAAGGGTGCCTGTCTTTATTACAGCATATTGAGATTACCTTGTGTCAATAAAAATTCTAATAGAAAATGCCACAAAAAAGTTGGGGATTTTTTCTGGAGTTAGATCAATTTTTCTACCTATTTAAATGACCCTGAGTAATGAATGAGAATTTACAGTAATGTTAGTTAATTGTACTCTATGTTTCCAACTCCAAAATGAACATGACATGACTGAGACCAGGAAAAAGTTGCAGGGATTCTGCCCTTGTGCAAATGATGGACTGATGTTTAGGGCCTTGGAAATATCCAGTTGAAATTTAGGGCAGTTAATCCAAATCTTCTGATGCCATCCCCATTGCATTGTTTATCTAAATTTTCTTCTAAATTTTCTCTAAGCTCTTCCTCAAAGTTATTAAGGAAGTTCTAATCCTAAATGTATTGATAATACTTAGAATATGTCTATATATGTATTTTTTTTTCAAACTTCAAAATGTGGTGTCTAATATTTGAGAATTTCGTATGCATCCTAAATAAGTTTTGTCAGATATTTTAGATATCAGTTTAAGTCCTAAACTGTTGCCTCCTAAATAGACACTCTTAATTTCTGAGCATTATATCAAGCATTAAAGGATTCTTAATTCTTATCCACAAGTTCCATGAGGACCAGTGTACTGGGTGGTACAGACTTTTCCACTGAGATTCCTGATTACAATTAATCAGCCTTATATTTCCCCTAACTCTAGGGCAACTTAAATTCCTTCACCGCTGGCTCATGGAGAGACAGATTTGTGTGTGTTTCCCATCTCCATGTTGGTTCACCTACAAACAATAAAGCTCTTTCCTTTTGGGGGAAAAAAAGGAATTTTTAATTCTTTACTGAGCAACCCATTTTATGTTAGACACATTATGCATTTTCACATTTATTACTGTGTTAATTATCTTAATTAACATTCGTGAGGTAAGTCATCTATAATGGGAAACCAGAAGCTTAACCATGAGGAGAGAAGTAGGGATGATTGTTGGCCAGATTACTCTTGATCTCAAATGCAGAACTTTTACTCCCTCAGTTTTAAATCATATTAATAAATAATTGTGGAAATAACTATGTACATATGAAAGAATAATAACAGGAGACAATATAAATGGCAAATAAATCTCGAATCCATAATCTTTTATCCCCATTGATAGAAATGCTTCCTGTCTCCTTTTGTTTTAAGCAGAATTTACCTGTTCTTTGCTTATAGTGTTTATCACTTTATACCTTTGTGTTATAGACATTGCTTTTATGTCTTTTTTATTATATGAAAGACAGAATAATCTTTGAATATAAGTCTGTGGGGTAGTTTGTACATTAAATGTTTCCCAAAGACTAATGTATTAACATCTTGTTCCCCAAGATGACTATTGAGAAGTGGTGAAACTTTAAGAGGTAGGTCAATTGGGAAATTCTTAGGTTATTGAGGGGCACGAGAAGACTGTGGCACCACAGCCATTCTCCTGCTCTTTTGATTCCTGGGTATAAGGTAAGCAATTCTCATCCACTAAGCACTCCTGTCATGATTTGCTGCCTTGCCACAGTCCCCCCAAATTGATGCCAACTGATCATGGAACCTCCATAACTGAGCTCAAATAAGACTTTTACTTTTATAAATTGATTATCTCAGGCATTGCAATATAATGGTGGAAACCTGACTAACACATATTTGTAATTAATCTCTAAAAGTTCTCAGTAATACAGTCCCACTGCTTGCTTGTTCCAATTCAAATTCAATAGACATTTGTTGAATTAATTAAGAACGGGTAAAATTAAGGAAATTAATTTTTAAAATCTCTTATTATATTCCATACAATATGCTAGGTACTATAAATTAGGCCATTTCTATTTTCCACTCTGCTTCAAAAACTATCCTAAAAGCTAGATTAATGTTCATCTTGGTTACATTTTCCATTCTCAAATCTGTGAGGAAAACAGACCTTCAGTATGTATCTGTTGAATAAATGAATGAAGGTATAGTAGTATAGCATGACTATGGATTGGTAGGGCCTGCAGTGTTGAAGCATAAGATCAGACATAAATATTTGAAAGTAGTTGGCTAGAGTACAAAGTACATTAAGAATGTCAGGATATAAAGCAGAACATTTTGATATGGCCATTCTGATACTATCCTTTTTTTTAATGTATTTGCATCAAAATGATTCTGAGAAAATATATGTGACAGTGACAAAAATATCATATTGCAAGTGTTCATGGACTTTTCTTCTCTTATTTCTGCAAAGCAATAGCCTACATTCCTCTCTTTACTTTATGGTCTTTGTTGTACTTCTCAGATAATAAGGACTGTTTCATATTAGAGAGAGATCTCCAATATCTCTTTCTCTAGTAGAGAAGAATATGGGAAAGTACAATTGATTTATGTAAGAAAGATGACAAAGGAAGCCATGGAAGAAAATAATTTATCAGAAAGGCAAGAAGGGGTAGAAAGGAGGCTGATGTTGCCAGACAGAAAGGAGATTTAGATGTAGCAGCTGTCCTGTAAAGGGGAGATTCGAGTAGTCAGATGGGTAAATAGGAATGATTAAGACATTTGGAGTGTTTTGTATTATGTGCTTTGCCTACTTCACCACCTCTTCAAGGCACTCCAGTAGAGAATTGTATGATTTTTCAAGGGCAACTGAGTTAGATTTTTATTTCTTCTCACTGTGACAAGGCTGAGATTGGCCTTTAAGGGAGCAATTTAAAAGCACGGATTCGTTTGTGCTATATGTATGTATATATTTTTACTAGTAAATCACTATGGAACATATATCTTTGGTTCTGACTTCCTTTCTACTGCACTCATCTTTCCCTATTATAAAAATATCTGCCAAAATAAAATATGTGTGTGCGTTTATATATATATATATATATACATATATATATATATATGTCATTGATTATTAAGAGAAATAATAGAATGTTATTGAGATGACTTTGTGATCTAACCCTTTGCCCTATCTCAATAAAATAGTATTGGTAAAATCAGGAAACATACCAAAAAGTTTTCCATATATATAAGCGGGAAAAATACCATTATTAGGCCACCTATTTAGTCTATATATTCCTATCTGGAAATGATATTTTTAAGTGAGAAACCAAAAACTAAGAGATAGAAGGCAGGCTGTACAAAGTATATGCTAATACGAGGACAATAAGCAAATCCTTAGCTTGTTTGATTAATGTTGTGTCCTGAGAGAGTGTGAGCTCCCATGACCTGGCCCAAAGCCTGCTCTCCATTTCCACCCCACCTGATCTAAGGCTGCTCACAGGCACAGTGCAGGAACAAGGCCAGTGCCTCCTCTTTAGGTGTCTTCTAAACCTAAACTGCCCCCTTCCCTCTCTTCTCTACAAGGTGAAAAGTCACTTATGCTTTAAACTTTTTGCTTCCTCTTTGAAGTCAGTTAAGAACACAGAACTTGCAATTGTCTGCTCACCATCCCTCACAGACATGGATGTTGCCATTTGCATAGGTAAAAGTCAAGTAGTCCTACCTTCATTTCCTGTACTGAAGTCAGTTTTCTCTTCATGAATAAGCATTTTCTCCAATCTTCTGGTGAACTTGTTGGCCTGGAATTTTCCCAAGACTTTCTAAAAGTTGACATAAATTACTCCCATTGGTTTCTCTGTCCCAAGTTCTTCAAAATATAAATACATACCACTTAGTTAAAGTTAATTCCACATTTTGGCCCATTTTATCTTTGTAAAAACAACTTAAAACTGCTTATTTTATTAGTCATATTTACCACAAAATTTCCTAATTTCCAACTCTGCAACAGCAAATCAATTCCAAGGTCACTTTTCAAGTGTTTCTAAGAAACAAGATGGCAATACGCCAATGGTTTGGTGCAGTGTCCAATTCTAATGAAAGATTAAACATTTTAGCCAGCAATTCCAGTGTCCTCTGACTGCTTTAAAAACATTTGGTTGAATGCCATCTGTTCTTGGTGATTTATTTATGTCTTGTTTGTCAATTTGTTCTAAAGCATTCTCTCCATTTATTTATTGATCCATCATGCTGGTCTATGCACTATGAAAGACAGTAACGATTAAAGAAGCAATCTGTGCCCAGCAGAGTGCTGGGCAATATGGTAAATATCTGAGACGTGCATCTGTTCTCCAGATGCTTGTCATGAGTTGGGTTAAAGCAAACAAACAAAAGCTAAATTGTGGGGATCATATAACTCAGATGACCCAGACACTAGTAACCATAGGAACAAAACACACGAAGCTTCTGGTTTCAGTGTCTCTTGAGCTCTCTCCATTTCTCTGCCAAGATTTTCCATTATTCTGAGGAATGTCTTATAAGTGTTTCTCCTGTGCTCCAAAAAAGTCTACTTGTGTTCTTTGATGTTAGCCTCCTCTTGGGCATCCGCTGCTCAGAAGTCTTTTGCAAGTAGTCCCTTACTGTGGCCACAGCAATCAAGACTCTTGAATTTTTTTTCTCTCTGTCCTGCATGCCTGGACTTTTCATTCTTCTTGTCTTCTTTATACTTTTGCATGCTGCTGCCTCCTCGTGTGATAAAAAAAAAAAAAAAAAAAAAAAAAAAAGAAGAATTTCAAGCTTCCGAACTCTGTGTCCCTTAGGTCCTAAAGTGTAGCTGATGATTGTACCTAAGCTTTTGTCCTTTATCAAAATGATTCCTCACCTTCCTGCCTTGGGCCTCTTTTTTAGAACTTGAAGTGGCTGGAGAATAGATTTCTTAGCCCTTTTTTAATTTCCCCATCTTGATTCTATCTGCTTCTGGGAACCATGAACTATTTTTTTTTTTCTTTGCTCCTGCAGTAAAAAGTAAAAGTTCTCATTCATACAGACTCAGGTGAAGAAATTTTGTGCTGTATCACTAATACCACATACCCAATCTTCATTATGCTATTGAATGAACCCACAAGTCATCTCAATTAAGTTTTACAAAAAAAATGCTACAAATAGCACTTTTATTTGTATTTTACAGAAGAATGTACTAAAGTGAACTGAAGGACATACAACTGTTAAGACTCCACTATTAGAAAATGTTGGCAGCCTGCTCATGAGGGGGAAAGTTCAACGTTTAGATTACTTTGATTTGCATTCTTTTCATTATAAAAAATAAAAGTAATATTTTGATTGCAGAGAAACTGACATAGTGAGAGTAAGACGTGATCAAAACTTAAAATTTTCAGTGACTGATTAGCTCCTCCTTCAAAATCACTTTTTTAAACTCCATAACACTAAGCCAAATTTGAAATCAATAAACAATAAGGCCACTGCTCAAATCAGGCATCATCTGCTTCAGAACTTGTCATGTCTCAGTTTCTGATTGGCAAGTGAATCACAGCCAAGTACTTATTAGACTGTTAGGCTCCCTTCCAGTGCAGTCTTCAATTATCTTTGTTATTGTACAGCAAAGAACATTTGCTTGATGAAGTAGAGCTGATTTGCTTATTGTATGTCTCTGCATTCTCGTTAATCTCTCCAATTCTGCAATTTGTATTGGTTTTCTAGTTATTAGAGTGAATTCATGAGAACATGTTTTATTATTAGTGCTGTCTCCTAGCAGTACCTAACCCTTTGGAATATGCAGAAAATGTGACAAATCTCTTGGCCCTGAAATCTTTGCAGGCTGAATACAAACGGCTGTACTCCAACAAACAGACAGGAAAAGAGTGCTGATGTTTTAACTGGAGGATCTCAAGAGTGAGTAGGAATTCATTAACATTTTTAGTCATTGAAATAGTTGTTGCTTTCTTCTTCTCACTCCTGTGGCTTAAATGTAGTTTGAAAATGTATTTGCATAGGCTTTTGGAGTGTCCTTTGGCCTTTGGGTAGTATATTTTGCAATGATGCTACAAGCTCCCTTTTACTGCAGTGCTCTAATTGGAGATCCACTGGAGCCTCCTAACAAAGAGCTCCCCACTGGGTGACCCACAGGGTCTCTCTAGTTTGCAATTAAATACTTATTAAGAAGTGTTCCTATTTTATCTTTTCCAAAGACCCCAGGTCATCAAAAGATCACATTGCTGAACTTGGGGATAACGTATCTTTTCCATTCATTCACTGGATTTTTCTATGCAACATTGCACAGTACATGAATATGGGCAGATCCAGTAGGGGACCTCACCTCCCCTGAACACTTACCTAAGGGAAAAAGAAAATGCTGATAAGATCCAAAGGTTTCTAATCAATTATTCCTCTAGATGATATGTTGTTTGCATAGGACACTAGGGCTCTGGCTTTGAGATGTGAGAAATGTAAGTTTGACCCAGGATACATGGATTTACACACAGGATGGGATGTAGTAACATGTAATATATAAATGTCCAATTACTGGAATGTAACTGAAGTTTCATTAAAGTGTGAAATTCTAAAAGAATAGTAATGGAGGAAATAAAATGTTCCTCAGAGGAAGGCGGTGATAATAAAGGACATTTTGTTTTTATACATGGAAAATGCTTTTTCTGTTTAATCTCTGAAAATTGGAGCCCTGTTCTTACCCCCATTATCCTCTTTATGTACCTTATACTCGTACTTTGGTAATGGATCATTTATGATTTTGTGTCTTGAGTTGGTGTTGATGATTAGACCCTTTCAGATGGGATGTGACCACTGCCCCATTTCTGAGCGAAACTTAGGATGCTCGCTATCATGTTCAGATGCCCTGGGAGGCAGTATGTGAATAATTTTTGTATGACTTCAATCATTCCTGTTTATTATTCAAAACTTATTGTGTAAATTCCGAAATTTATATTCTCTTCAATAATTAAATGTTACTAGTAATTTAGTACTTTAAATTTCTGCCTTATGTAGACTAATTATGCCCCATTTTCAATATCAAATTGTCTAAGTGATCACGTCTTTACATTTCCATTAATTACAAACATTTTCAAGTTCACATAGTACCATAAAAAATTGTACTCATTAAATGAAAAATAATGGTTAATACTAACTAATTAAGTAAAGATTAATGACTAAATCTAACTTAATTCTTGGTAGTATTTTTCTAAATTCCATTTTTACCCTAACCTCCATGAGATCAGATATCTTCAAAGTTTGCTTCACATTTGAGTTTTATCCTTTATCCAGCTTATTCTTTTCCAGATAGATCTATATTTGTACAGTGAATTCTCCCACAATGTTTTAAAGCATTTTTTTTAACTGGTTTCACTTTGGACAGAATATCTTTCTCAAATACTTTTTAAATCTATTTCCAGGAAAATCTCCACATTTTCATTGCTTTCATTTGAAAATACTTTGAATAGGTGTTTCATTTGTTTGTCTTAAAATTAAAATATACACACATTTAGCCAAAAACATTTAAAATGAGTATATAAGACATTTATGGTAAACACAAGTAATAATTTTAGTCACAGGTACCCTTTTCTTTCTATTTTTGCCATTACAATAACATAATCCTTTGTATCCTTGTCCATATCTGTGTTCTGTATCTGCATCAGTCTATGTTTTTTTTTTACTTTTCTGCTTTTCTTTGAGATTAACTTTTAAAAGTTATATCATTGAGGTAAGTTCTTTTTTAGACAAATTTTTATCTTTTCCTTAATTTGATAGTTGAAAAATGGTCACTCTGTGTGTGTGTTTGTATACAGTGGCGGAAGTATTTGAATATATTTACTGACCATTTCCTCATTTATGAATGGTCTATTGTCCTTAGTCCAGATGCCTATTGGAGTTTTCACATTTTTAATGATTTGTTAGAGATATTAATAAACTTGAAGTGTTAACACCTTTAGATATAATTCTTCTCTAATTTGTTATTGTACTTTAATTTTTATCATCCTTTTACATGAACAAAATTTACTTTATTAAATTTATTAATTTTTAAATAATTCTTCTTTTTTTAAGCTAAAACATTTATTGAACAATGTCAAATTCATATTTATTCATACTGTCCTTTAGGTTTTTTTTACTTTCCTCTTTTTATGACTTTAATAAATATATAGTTTGTTTTGTTTCCCCAAAGTATTTACTTATTGTTAAGTATAGGGACTTATCAAAGTCCCTATAGCTAACAGCAAGTTATTATGCTCTTCGAAATGTGATAAGAAGGTAGATCTCAGGTAGCCTGAGATATAGTCTGTTTGTGCAATTATAAAAAAAATGTGAGATTAATCAACAGAAATTTATTTCTCAGAGTTTTAGAGGTAGGGAAGACACCTCTCAAGGGATCAGAACATTCTGTGTCTGGCAAGAGCCTCATCTGTGCTTCCAAGATGGTGCCTTGTTGCAGTGTGCTCTAGAGAAGATTAACTATGTCCTTATGTGGCCAAAGCTGGACAGACAAAGTCAGTTCCTCCCAGCCTTTTATAGGTTTACTAATCCCATTTGTAAGTGCAGAACCCTCATGGCCTAATGACTTATTGAAGGCTCCTCCTTTTACTACTGTAGTGTTAAGGATTAAGTTTCAGCATGAATTTTGGAGGAGACACAAATATTCAAGCTATTGCATCAAGAGTTCTGAACACACACACACATACACACAAACATACACACACACACAAACATATACACACACAGACACACAAAATAAAATCCCCAAATGGAAGGTTGGGAGATAGATAGATAGCTAGATAGATAGATAGATAGATAGATAGATAATCAAAAACAAAACAAAATGGACAAAAAGAAACTTTGAGAGGATTTTATATGACTTTTACTTTGATCAAACTGCACACATTAAATATTTGCAATTTTCATATAACAATTATACTTCAAAAAAGCTGTTGAAACAAATTGATATATTATATCCATTTAGCTTTCGTCTCATGTTTAGAATACAATTTTATTTGGCTTTTTAAAAGCTTGATTAATTTTTACCCTTTTGACTACCTATAATCTCATTTTTTTATGATGTAGTCAGTAGCAGCTTTACTGATCTGACTCCAATTGGCCCCAAACACAGATCAGAAGTCACAGTGTGTCAGGAAGAACGATGGTCCATAAAACATGTCCACAACTTCATCTCTGGAACATATGAATATGTTACAATACATTTCCAAAGGAACTTGAAAATAAAGTTAAGATTGTGGACTTTAACAGAGGGATATTATCTTGTACTATCTGGGCCCACCCAAAATAATTACGTGGGCTTTTAAGAATAGAGGAAGAGAGCAGAAAAGTTGGTCAGAAAGATGTGACAGAAGAGTAAGCAAGAGAGATTTAAGATGTGAGAGGAACTTGACCCTTCTTTTGATGATGAAGAGAGGAACTTAGGGACAGAGAATGTAGTTGGGCTCTAGAAGTTGGGAACAACCCTTTGTTGACAGCCAGCAAGCAAGAAAATGGAAATCCCAATCTGACAACCTCAAAGAATCCAGTTCTGCCAATGAAGTGAATAGGCAAAGAACTGGACTGTCCCCAAGAGCCACAGGAATGCAGTTCTGCTAAGCTTTTGCTTTACTCTGGAGATATGTGCTAGACTTCTGATCCACAGCAATATAAAATAATAGATGTGTATTTTTTAAGCTGCTGAAGTTTTGGTAGTTTATCACAGTAGCAATAGAAACCCACTATGCAAGGTCTTATGAATTCTGATATTGAACATATTTATTTTATATTCTGGCTGAGTCCCTTAATAGCAGAGTCAGCATGCATGTTTTTAACTATCTACCTCATTGTGAGCCACAAATATTATGATAATTAGTTAATAATAATAAAAGCGACAATACCAATAATATGTTACATACGTTTCACATACTTTTAAAATAATAATTCACAATAATATTTACTATATGAATATTTACTGCATGCCAGATGATTTTGAAAGCATTTGATCTGCATTACTTATTTTTACTCTTACAATAAAATCCTGTTCGTGTTACCATATTACCTTTTTTAACACATAAAGGACAGTTGTTTATCTGAAAAATTAGAGACACAGGAATATGGCAAGGGAGTGGCCTTCTCTGCTCATAGAGTCCATCAAAAGGCACTGGATAGTACACCAAACCTAGGCAGTGTTACACAGAATGTGCATGCTTAATCACTTTGCCACAGTCTCTCTGTTATTATTGTTGTTGTTTTTATATTAATCACTATACAATAGCTGCTTGATTATCTTTTTTGCTGTTGTTGTTATTATCTTCTTAATATCAGCAAAAAGCCTACAGATGCCCGAGTGGAGAGCAGTGGGAAGAATTATTTGTTGAATTTTGACTTTGAACAAAGGTCCCACTCTGTGATTTGATCAGCCAGTTCAGCAAAGCTAAGCCTTTTGACCAGATTTCTGAGTTGTTGGCAACTTACCCTGGAATCAGAGACCTACTTTTAAATTATGAGCAATTACTAAATTGCTCTGTGAATTTTTATTTAACTTCCACATTCTGGTTGCGTGGCCAATCTTCTTTTTTGTCTTTTTTTTTTTTTTTTGGTCAGAAATTAAATCAGATGGATGGGTGTCAAAACTATGAAAATATGAAATAGATCATTCCAATATGAAGCTTTATATCACCATAACTTTTATTCAGGATTTATTTTAGTAAAGCACTGCAAAATGAATTGTCGGATTTTTCACTTACATCCACAGGGTCTGTATGTTTTGCTCATCAGCGATGTTGCTTTTATAACACATTTCCTCTGGTTTTCACAGTGTTTAGCCAAGGGACTTGTGGCTGATAAAGCAGAAGTGTGTGAGAAGGGAGACAGTGAGAGGCAGTGACCAGCTGTTCAATATTATGATAGTT